TTCAACAAAACAGTAAATTTAACGTGCTACGTTTGCAAACTACCCTGAAAGACTTTGAGTCATGAACGCAATGAGCACCATCAAGTATATGGTGTGCAATCGCACTGTTACAATGCGCTGTCCTTTTAGTCTAAGCTTCTGTGTAATATATTCAGGGTTCTGAACACTAAGCCTCCTTTCTGTTCCTCCAATGTATGTGCTCCAGCACGTACATGTGTATTGGTAGAAATGATTAGAGGTAATATATGACTGTCATAACAAGCAGATCGTTTGATACAGGAAATCGGATTGGGAACTAGAAACATCTATTTCATTACCCTGAAAGTCATTTCTTAGGAAGACAGCTTCCTTTCCATCATGGTATACTATACTTGCTTCGTTTCTGTCTTAACATACTTGGTCATGAATTTTGAGAGTAACTATTATTATGTTCAACTCCTCACTAATTATATCCTATAGACATGATCTTTTGACGTGATTGAAAAGCCTTATATTATCTTGATATAATATCAAACTTAATTTGTGTCTAAACGGCATTGATTTGGCACCCAACGACATTGCTAAAATCAATAAAAATAGAAGTGCTGGGGGATATATAGGAAAAATGCATACATAATTACTGGTTATTTTCTTGAGATAAAAGATCTATCTACTTTCTCGTGTTTATATGAGAGTTCGTCGCTTGCGATGTGCATGTATAACTTTCTAATAGCCAGAAAAAAAATCGACTATGATTACACATAAACTCAAAATCACTCGGTGAGTCTCCTTATATATCGCATATCTGTATTTAATATCATGTCTAAGCCATGAGAATTCTTAAATATACTGGAACAGTAAGTCAACAGTTACATGCTGTAGTTTATTGGGAGCAACGAAAGTTTCGAAGTTGGAATAAAATGAATTCATACTTCAAGAGCAAGCAGTGAGAATAAACATGCAAGTTTACCATAAATAGAATGTGATGGACCTTTTTGCCTTAAGTTTTTAGAATTAATCTTTACTCATGGAAAAGTACAACAAATGTCTTTTTCAACCTATCTTTTCTTGTCATATAATTACTATTGATACGTTTCCATTTGTAAGGAATTTTCGAGCATCTTCACAGAAATGTTGACTGAATTGGATCTACTTGGAACTTTACTTATTAAAAATTTGCTGAATGTAGTTTAAACCTATAAATAACAAGAGATTAGGGAATATAATTTAATTTCGTTGTTTGACTACCAGTCAAAAAAATTTGTCTACGGCATTGATAAGAAGCCATTAGTAATGAAATGCTTCTGGCACTGCTACTGGAAGCCCAACATTATACACAGGTCTTAAGAGTGATTTTTAATTATTATTTCAAGAACAGCTCCTAGTTTTTTCAAATAACTTAGGTATGATCTACATTTTTATTTCGCTACCAAGCAATTCTGTCAGTTGGTGTTGGGTCCATCCTTTATTATCGATCTCTCTTATTCATAAACCATGGACAGAAGTGAGTTAGATCATCATTTAAAACATGACGACACTGGACGGCCGTTTCATCCTAGTATGGGACTCCTCAGGAGCGCGCACCCACTATTCCGCTCGTGCGATTAGGCTCTACATCACTTAACCGTAATACATCGGTGTTAATGTCTGACAATTAATCCACATCATCGCGCGACCATTTTCCATTCTCTTGGGTGAGTAACTGTCTCACACTCGATACCAATCACCTACACTGGTTACAGCTTTTCACTAAAACTCTGAAAATTTTCTCTCGAAGCTAGTTAGGACGAAACAGTCATTCAGTGCTCCTACGTTTTCAATGATGGTCTACTTAGTCAAGTTCATGATTTCAATGGAATCTCCACAACCCCATACCAAAGATAATAATTTACTGGTATATCTAAGTTATAAGCAAATAGATGGTGGCTAGCAGTGGAATACAGGACGTGCGTTTCACCCCATTTGGGGCTCATTAGCTGGATACACATGAATCCAACAGTTGATGTTAACTCGGAGACTGCACATATGTCAATAAGAGACTGATCAATCGCAGACCTAAATGTCAATGCCGAGATCCAAAAAGCCAATATAAAAATGAATTATATTTAAGTTATACTACTCATAGTTTTTAAGTAATCTGAGTTTTGGTTGACTTGATTGGAAATAATTGTTTCATTTAACACACCCGAGCAAAATTGTTTTGGAGATTTGATGAACGTATCTTCCAGTCAGTCTGTTTTTAAGCTCGGCAATCGGTAATACGTTAGAATGAAAGCCACTTGTTGGTGGATATTCTTACTGAGTCTTAAATCAATAGTAAGAATGAATCTTCCGCTCATTATCTTCATTCCTTCAGTATCTTGTCTGCTGAAGTGATGAAATATTTTATGGTTTCAAGTTTGGCTATAAGTGCCGAACGACATCGAGTTTTCGGGATTTATACACATACATATATGTCATTCCAGATATCTGTTGGAACTGAAGTGTATTTATTATTGTCTACTTACTATTTGTCCATGCCCCAACTAAATAATCCATTGACCGATGATATTTCGGATGTTAGCTGCAGGGTTTGATACAGGTCAGCATTATAAGTAAAACTATAGAGTGAGGTTTAGGAACCTGTGCACTGAGGTTATCTCCTATTCCCAATGAGTGCTTCACTTAATACTTTCGACCAATTTCCTATTCATTTAGTGGGTGGCTGCTGAATATTAGTGGAATTTTCACCGAAGATTTCATGTCAAGCTTTTGGAGTTATCCGCAACTTTCTCTAATGCATATGTTAGTTTAGTTCAGGCCAATATACCACATAAGAAACGCCAAAATACAGAAATCTGGGGCTTGAAATAAAATTTTCGATGAAAAGTAGACTTAAATACCCAGGACTCATTAGTTAAATGAACGGTAAAGTGATGAGTGGTGTTGGGCGTGACGGACTTCGCGCAAAACTTGAATCAAACTGCTTTTTTATTCTTTTTAACTTTGTAGGGTGATTAAAACCTTTGTCTGCACTAAGCGTGATTGAATATGAATAAAGCAACACTAATTTAACCAATATATGCATATTTTTTCTCAGGCGTGTTGATCATTCTTTTTGGGCGCATATATGTAGTTTCAGCTAGTAATCAAAATTTATATACAAAATTAATTTGGGTAATTTATCACAACTGTAAAAGACATTAAAGATAAATTTTGTGACAAACTATTGTTATTTTAAAAACCACTGAGGGACGGGTAATAATCAAAGATTTCCTTTTCATATTTTGAATGTTCTTCGATTCGTAATTGGATTGTGACCAAGAAGGTGAAGCCTCTAAATCAACATGATTCTGTTGTGTGTAATTTTATCGTATTTATCTACTTCATGATTTAGAACAACGAAAACCAAAATTAGGAAAACATCAATTCTGCATATATTCGTTTGTGATGGTTGCTATATGAGATATACACCATATTGAATCTTGTAATGTTTTTTTATCAAATCACGATAAGCTAGTTATTTTTGTTTACTTACTAGTAAGATTCATAAATATGTGGTATCATCCTTAGTGTAGTAAGAAAGAATTAGTTCAACGTTGTTATTACGGTTCGAATTAAAGTATAATATACGGGGGCATATTATTGATTTTAATCCACAGCAGCTTTTGATAAAAGTCCCTCAAGATGTTTGAAGAATGAACCATATCGTAAATTTTGTAAAATAATTTATCACTAAAAAGTGCGACAGAATCTTACGGAACCGCATACTATGATTGTGAACCATAATTTAGAATAAATTTTATTGAACTCCTCCACACCATTAAGTCTATGAATGTGGTTATCGATTATTGGTTTTCGAGGATTCAGTTCCTTTGTTATCAACTATTGTTTGAGATTCAATGACTTTTACTATTGTTTGGCGAACTGGCTGGCTTCAATCAACATGTTTTATGTGTTCCAAACCAATAAAGCTGAGATGTCCGGGTATTGTCTGTTGATCGAAGACTTGGTGGGGCAAACCAATTTATTGTTTAATGTAAAATCACAAAGTGGCTTGGTGAAGTATGAAAATCATTTATTAAATACATCGTTTGCATTGTCTTTTTATATACTATATTATTCCTTTAATTCACTTGTTATTTCGATTGCTCTCTGATCTCCTGCTGGTAGGTATTCCACTTCCGATTGCTGCTAAACACTACTTATATCTGTCAGCCTAAGTAGCAAACACCACACTACTACTTAAATACAAGCCGCAACACAAGCCATCCAGTCTTATTCGGCACAGTCCAAAGACAGAAAGGATATAACTGAGACGGAGATTAATTTTCACATTCAAAATAGACCCAACATTATATGTACATTGATTAATAGCTAGTTTTCGAATAAACCTTGTGGGCGGCCTATGCTCCTTCACGAAGGGTGACAAGCGTAAGTTTTGAGTACACTCAAATCCGCAGCACTCACTATTAATTATTCAATAGCTCACATTGAGATGAATTACAGACATCGTAAGATCAAGATCCTACAATTAACATGTATAGTTGAGCTATACCCTCGATGTTTACCAGTAATTTGATAGACGTTTCTATTGCCCCATAATTTGTTTTTGATTTCACCTGAGTCATACAACAGGAACTTATTGGTATACAAATAAACATGCATTTATATCGTTTACTGGATTATTTGAAGTTAATTTATAGCAAGCTATCACATAAGCGTAGACAATTTTATGTGTATTTATCAAAATTAAAATCACCTGATAAAATTCGCATAATCACGTAATTTGCTGAAATTTTACATTATTCAATGTTAGAAACTTGACGACAAGTTTCGAGATACATTTCTAGAGAATTAAATACAGACAATATATACCTTCACGTTTCATTTGGCTATACAGTCCACTGAAGTTTTATATTGGGTAGATATGATGACGAATTACTGGTGCAACAGTTAAGAGATCAGAATACTTTAAAACTCTATTCTACATAAAGTCGAAAGTGTAACCTAGAAAACACAATTGAAAAAAAGGAATTTTTCGAATTTTATTAATCTTTATTTTGTGATTGGAACGATCAAGAAAAACATGAACGGTTTTTTCATACTTTTTTCAACAAACAGTAAACAAATATATGCGTACAAACAAAACTTTAACCTATTGAATCACAGTTTGACTCACAATACACTGGAAAATAGATCAAAATGTTAGGAAAGTGAGGGGGGATGGAGGAAGAATGAAAATGAAGACGAATAAACACCTATATGTGTATATTATCAGTATAACAATACGAATAAAGCAAAAAAGGAAATGAGTGAATAGACGAAACAAAAAGACACGTACGACACAAGAGTGCAATCATAAACAAACGATTCACAGATATTTATGTAGTGATAGCACACAGACAAGCGTTTACACGATGTGAATAAACTTTGAAAACTTCACAAAATAGTTCGCTTGAAAAAAAGGAAATGATTCGTTATTATATCACATTCAGTTGACATTTTGTCAGACATGATGCACCGCCAAAATATATGTTTATATGTACGTAACAGTTATAAAAATATACTAGTATTGCAAAACACCGTTACAAAAGTGCAGTTATTGTGTATATTTCGAATGATTCAGGCAGAGAAAAGAGTTAAACAAATACATAATTTATATACTTTGTTTTTAGAAAAAGAGTAAATTCATGAAACTTGGAAAATGTGAATAAATACAAATGAAATACGATTCTTGGTGTACGAAACACATATCTTATATTGTTACAAAGATCTTGGAAAGTCAACGAAACCAACTCATTATGTATAGACAAAAAAGACTAATTCCAAGTTAACTGAGAATAGAAACAAATTTTTCATGTGATATGAAAGAAAGACCATGAGGTGAACAAAAGCAAGCAAGCAATCACAACAGTTTACAGTAAAACACGACTAAAAATTGAACGTACCCCCTAACAGACAAATATCACAAGACCAACACCAAAATGACATGACAGACCGCCATCTTGTAATATATATAATTTAAAGAGAGGAAATCATGGAAGTCTAATTAAACAAAAGACACAAAAAATAGTCAATCATCGCAGTTTAAAATAATAAAACTTCGAGTCACATAGAAATAAAAGAGGCATGATAAACAGCGGTAGGCGAAAAATTAGAAAAGGAATCACAGAAAAATTGATCTTGTTTAAGACCCACTTCTGAGTACTGATGCGAAGTCGTGAAGCAAAACAACAACAAGGAGTGAAAACGTCGGCTTGTATTAAGACATTCGTCACAATTCCCAGCTGAAGAGATGATACTTGACTAGCATGTCTCCGGTCGTCTCTGTTGCAGCTGTTGTCATGTTACTATCTATTTCATTCAAATTCTCATCATTGGGTATTAGAATTGATGATAAAGACAGACATGGCGGATCATTCATTGGATCGATAACAGATGAAGCAGTCATTAAACGTTGTAAAGGTTTGACTTTATGCAAGTCTAATGCATTACCCATCGTAGATATTACCTTTGAGCTGGATTTATTGGTACGACGCGGCAAACTCTCCGATGATAAAGCAAACAATTTAGACGCCGTAAAACCAGTTTGTCGAATATGATTGAAATTTTGAAGACTGTTTAATTCGTATGTTGGTGATAAATGAAACGCGAATTGACTAAGAACACTATTAAGAAATTACAAAAAGGACAGTGCTATGTGAATAATCATTGGAAACAATATCCATAAAAATTGAAAGCTGCTGAATAGAACAAATGATGAAAAGCAAATAAGTACACTACAAGTACAACATTGAAATTAATGAGCGAATATGACCCGTTATGTTTTGTGTGGTTAATCAATAGGGACTGATTCAGTGTTTGAGTAGATGTGACACAATTTAAAGATGGAATGTATAACACCTCAAAAACTGAATACGTATGAATATATTATTCAGTGATTAAGATCTCCGGAATTTTTCAATCGACGGGAACAGATGATAATATCAAATAGTGAGAATCTGACTGTTTGTTGTACCAATTCATTAAAACATCATTAATACGGTGCATTTATGACGCGAATAACCTAAAAGGTTGGCCCTTATGAACATATAGAAACATTAAGAGTAAAGAAATTGTTCCCTACTTAAACGGTTACATATTCTTATGGTATGAGGAAAAGTTTAGCCACTATGCAACTCTTCACGTTTGATTAACCCAACTACGGATAAAGAAGATAAATAATAAGTAAAAAGGCTGTATTCTCGGAAGACGGAATAGAGAACGTATATATATTTGTTAATTCCTCAAACAAGATTTCTATTACCAACTTTTACAAAGTTGCTGCTTCATTTTGATTGTGGCGAATCGACGAACTAGTGGTGAAATCATTTCTACCTATAAATATTTCGTATAAACTAAGGAAAATATGACTTGTTTTGTCACTCTATTTAAATATAGTTCTATTTTCTCAGCGTTTTTTAATCATATCTGGTGTGGCTGCCACCTAGCTGTTACATTAAATACTCACTTAACTTCAATATTTAGCAAGCTTACGTTTATACAAACGACAAAGTACAAATTCATACTTCAGTTTCATCTAATGAAACAATTTATTATTATATAAAAATGAAAACTGTTTTTAACCTGTACACATACCGTAATTCACATTTAATTTGAACCCAACCAGGACTGCGAAGGTATGACCAAGGATGATACCATTTACTAACTACTTTAACTGATGAACAAAGAATTTCGAACCATAGATGTAATAGTTGTTCGCTTAAAAATTGTCAGAAAAAGTAATTAAGCTAAGTATGTGAATGTTGGACATGATCATAAAACTTTAAAATCACAAGTAAAATATTTAGTACAGCTGATACTTCAGTGAAACATATTAATACGTTTGTTATACGAGTATCATTAATTCAATCTGCTGAAATGTGAAACATCAGGTTTTGAAAGCAAAACGTTATCTGACATGAGAGAATTATTACTGAAGTTTTCATTGTCTTTAAAGCGAATAACAGCGTAAGCTTAAAGGAGAAAACTATTAAAATCTTCTTGAAGTTGGTTGATAGTTGACGGTGACTACTATTTTTACATGGATATACATTCATAGCGCATACACTTTAGTATAACACGGCATCGAAAATTTACTAAACAAATGAAGTAATAAAATTGAGGAAAAAAGAAAGAGGCGAACTATCTATGGGGAAATAAACAAGAAAAATAATTTTAGAAAAGATCAGTTGAAATTCATCTAAGAAAGATTTCTTTTCTTTTAAAAGAAAGTTACAGAAGCATTGCCACCAGCCTCTACGAAATCGCTAACCATAGACAAACATTTAAACTAATTAGACTATGTACTCGAGGTATAACGGTCATGATATGCAACAGGTATCATATTCCATCATCAAAGTGAGGATTCTACAAAAACCATGAGGCAGATGACTTTCCCATAAACAACCACAACAATATGCATAGCAATATGGAGTGTTTGAGCAATGTGGCAAATCGGCAGTATCATTCCAATAGCTATAGAAATGAGAAAATATAAGCTGATCAGATCATGCTTAGGACAAGTGAAACTCGTTAGACGCAATCTGAAGAGAAAAGACTAACTACAAGATAAATTGTTGTTTTCTCATTATCAAGGAAAAGATGCTCCACACACAAGCAATGGCACTGATTCTCTCCACAGAACCACAAAAGCCACTAATAGGATGAGAAATCCACGCATCCAACATCAGCAACCCATCTTGCGAAACAAACAAGTAAAATTTACCAATGTTATGCAGTGCTACGTACTCAATAATGATGAAAGTGGTGATAAGGGTCAGTTACATGAGAGGTTCGAGTTCATCACATAAATGTGTGGAGACCAAACGTCATATCTCACCGTAAGTTCGAAGTAGGCATTAAAAGCATGAATAGAACTTGTCAACAAACTGAAAAGTGAGCCCAGGACCGAACTGCTTGGAATTCGCTAGTAGGTTATTTGTGCCCAAAAGGGGTATCATGTTTAAGCAAGCAATATTAAGCTGGAATCAAACGCTTCACATTTATTGGATGTAACATACAAACTGGTACGAGATCCAGTATCCCATGATTTTTAATGATTCACAATAAAAACTAACATTTAATTAGCCAAATCAGAATAGGCGACTGTACTGAAGCTAAAACAAGGAATCAAACAGTTATGGGAACTTGAGTTTACAACTAGTGTTTTCCTCTGTCTATAAATATACAGAAGTGAATGTTAAAAGTGGATTCAAATACTGAAAGACTGCCAAAGGGCGGATTATTAATTATTAAGCAATATTATTTCCATTTTTAGTCTTTATACGTAGAAATTTTTTTCGCATTCAGTCAATAGAAAGCAGATAAAACTATCAATTTTACATGTAAAGACAGAATTGAAAAAGTAAAAGCTAGGGAAACTACTCACTTTAAACCTGAGCAGATCAAGGAACGAAATTTGATATCCATATGAGCATTAGCTAAATCGTGTGACATGTTTATACTATGTATTGTCTGTACAAGCGTGTATGTTTTTGTGTATAGACAGTATATAAGCATTCGTAGGCGGATTGGACGCGGTGAGTAGGCGTTTTCGGGAAAGCGCATGTGATTCCGATAGTCAAAATAGAAACAGGAAAAAAATAGGTTGAGCTAAATATAGCGACAAACTATGTTGTTTGGTATGAAAATGAAGTTATGTAGCTTATGGTTGTATACATTGCAAATAATAAAAGCAATAAATAATAATAGTAATGGTTATAATAATAACAATAAACCCTTAAATAATCCGTGTTTCTGGAGTCAAATGACGTAAATAATTAACAATGTCACGTAATACTATTGAAAAAAAATATGGATGGGGGAAGGTAGGAAAATGCCTAAGATGGGATTTTAATCAGTTATTATTCTGAAAAATAACATTAAACTATAAAATATGTTTGTAATTATTTCGTAAAAATGTCATTAGTGGCTTAAATCAAATAGGCCAATATGTGATTAGTTATACAGAATGAGGAAGCAGGAAACAAAGATAATTACACAATGATCGAAATAAATCCAACAAATCCAAAAAGGGGATACAACTTATATGTCTACTAGGACAATATTGACTAATGACGTCTCCACAAGATTCAAATGATGCTGACAGTTGGAATTTCCGTGACATAACTGCAAACAAAAATTGCTGTAATCAGTGAAATTAAAATTAGATTAATGGTGAGCAAAGCTGATAATACGGAAGCATACACTTATACTGAAATGTGAATATCTATGATTAGTTTACTTTTTTGTCGATTTTGATTATCGTTTACATGTCTAACAACAAAGCTAAACGATAGTTGAAAGACTATAGAAAAAGGATTAATAATGTGTAAATACAAGCATGACAACTCACTCTATATAACACTTCTTCCGGACTGAGGACTTTACCTTCTTCGTCCAATCGGAAGGTTTTACATAATACTAAACGTGAGTAAACAGAAGAGAAATCTCTTTCTACTTCTTTAGCCGCAGCTTCTTCAATAAAATGCCATGGATGACAACCAGTATCACCGAGTAGACGTGGTCGCTTCAATCCATGTGAAAATACAGCTCCAAGTGAATGGCAAAAACTAAAGGAAAAACAAGCGACGCAAGTAAGAAAAAGAAAACCAGGTTTTACGAATTTGTGTCGAGATTTTATCAGACGTTAACCAAAGTTGATTAGATTTGAGTGGCCCGTTGATATAACTCTGATTTGATGGTATGATGTCAACGAAACATGAATGCCGGCTACCCTCGTATATAATTATCGACTTGATTAGCGTTAAAAAAATAAAGGTACAAAATAAGTCGAATATGAGAATGAATTTTCGATATGTATATGTAATACACTCGTTACCTCAGACAGACAAGTTCTGGGGCAATATTTAGGATTTAGAGGGGTAGAAACGAATTATTACTCAAGGCGATGTATAAAATGGCGGAATGCTTAGGAGGATGTAAAGGAAGATAGAATGTTATTACACAAATCTTATACATAGCCTTTCAATTAGATAAAAATCAATCATATTTGAGTGACATATTCCAAGAAACTTTAGATGGGATTAGATTGCGAAAAAAACGTGAAACGTCAGGGTTAGTGATGTGTATGTGGACATGTTATGTAATTTAATTTAGAGAGCAAACACGATTACGTTTAGTCTTAAAAATCTATCAACTTTTACTTTTGAAATAATAAGATGCCTTGAACGTACCAGTGATTTGATTTATGGGCCAAAACTGCTCTGATCCAATTAATCAATGATAATACGGAGTATAAACGGAAATGTAAAATGTGTTAAATTATTTTCTGGGTAGCAAAAGATAGTAGGAGATAAGTGGTTGGCTTTATTAGTATTTTGATTAGTAGTTGAGAATGTTTCGTGGACTGTCGACTGTGAGTGGATTCACTAGATGTACTCAATAGTTGGTTAATGAGTGTGACTTTATGTTCCAAAGTCGTGTATTTAACTTACTAAGTTGTAAATTCTTTTGCTAATTGCACATTAGTATGGGTGTAAGTGAAATAATAAAGATTATTTAAGAGAGTTTGGAAAGAAGAGAATAGAGAGAAATTAAGAATGGAGTAATAATAACAAGTACTATAATACAACCTATAGTAGATGGTGAACTTATTTCTAAATTTTATTTTTTATTCTGAAGGGAGAAAAAAAGAATTACTCTATTCTTTATCTCAATAAAAACAAATAATTGATGACCTTAATTTCGTTCCAAAAACACTCTAGAGAAGCAATACCTAATCCCACTACGTTAAAAAGTGGGTAGAACAAAATGAATATTTTCTAACCACATTCTATTCACTTTAACTTATCTGTGTAGAGATTTATTATTCTGCAAAAAAAACCCAATAACCTAAATTCACTTGTATTATTAATAACCAGATAAGATGGTAAACACATGTACAATTCAAGAATGCTATGACTAGGACATAATTGGCGACTCAATGGGTAAACACATAAGCATATCAGAACAAAAATGTTGAAAAGTTTAGTCATTCTAGTTAAATATAAGTACATGCATCTTATCATCTTTGAACTTTGATCAATGTAACTAGCAAATCTTTTAAGAGGTGTGGTTATAAATATAGAAGAATTGTGATTAAGATATATAATGATTATAAAATTACCTTCCGCGAACAAGGCCAATAATTAATCTGTCTACACCATCATCACCAGCTGGAGAATAATTTTTTCCACGTTCATCTAACAATTCAACAAACTTGGCAGGAAACCAACCTCGTTGACCGTTTAGTTCACCGATCCAACAATGTTCGTCATCTGAGTTAATAATGGTTAGGATATCATTTTTATGAAATTCCAGTTCATCTACTTCAAAGCGTTCAAAATCGATCAATGCTTTGGCACGTCGTCTACGATGTTGCACGATCTATGGTTTTTAAACAAATGGTATGTTTAAGAAATTATAAAAAAGTGTTGGTAGTTGTTTTGATTACTGTAAGTGTTTTATTACATTCTGATGTCTGTACACAAACATCTATCTTCTATTGAATGGATGGTGACAGTCAATCGAATCTCAGACGAAACGAAACATTACAATGTAGCCCGAAACAATTGACTAATGAAAACGGCTTGTACAACAATGATTTAATAATTAGAAGCGAAATTCTGTTCTAAATTATCTGTTGCAACAACGAAACAGAATAAAATATTTGTCTGCTTCTGATATTTCCTGAACAATTCATACTTTTCAGACTTACTATGCATATATATAATATACAATATAGGACATAAATACTGAGTAAATGAGACAATATTGTAAATGAAACAATTTTTAGATCATTTTAATATATGACATAATAGAAATGTGTTGACAAAAAATAAGGCAATAATTAATGATTTTTAAAAATTTGTTTTGTGATCTAATGACGTAGGACATAAATATAAAATACTTATTTTTATTGAGTAGTTGGTAGATTATCTAGAATTGATCGAAATGATGTAAACAATTGAGTGCAGAAATCATTTCTTATAGTGGCGACAGTTGATTGGAGCAGAAGTTTGTATGTTCAAAACCTATAGTACGAACGAAGTTACTGAATTAATCTTTTTAAATAATCAAGTTACCAGACTCTGAAATGTCGTCAAAAATCCTCAATGGATTATAGTGGTTTGGTTACAGAAGTTAACCGTTCGGAAGTCCTGAGCCAGTGCTGGAACGAAATACGTCATGGTAACAACTACGTAATACCCTGAAATCAATGAATTGTCGTACAGACGCATAGCTCTACCATAACATAAGTGGTTTAATACGTGACAGCAGTGTCTTTGAATGGTTACATTTACGATATTCAAAATCCCGAAAAGGACTTCAGATACAGTGATCTTGAGATCACTGAATAAATGATCATGGCAATTCGATTTTTATATTTGAATATGAACACTGACGTATGTTCGTTTTCTTTTCTGCCATAATTTGGATAAGAAATGCTTTTTTATACATGTCTAGATTCACAAACAGTTTGAAAGAGAAAGACAAAAACGAATAATTTCACGGTTATAACTAAACGAGAAAGTGTGTCGACGAAAAAGAAACTTAATATACGATGCAAATGTAGTCGGATAATATCCTGAATTTCCTATTGGTTAGCAGGAAACAAATGTTGGTTTTGAGACATCGAAAGAATTAAGTGAAAAGTTCAAATGAGTAGTCCCAAACAAAATGGAAACATATGTAGTGCTTAATGATTCTTAGAGTTTATCCATTAATGATAGGTTTCATCAAGTGAACGACTTATACGAGATTTATATAAACCGATGAGATCTCATCTACAGCGATAGAAAAATATAAATGCAAAGAGTTAGCACTTGAATGTTTCTCTTGCCAGATGGTTGATAAATTTCAGTTAGTAAATAACAAACGTAGAAGAACCAAACAAAATTATAAGTTGCTAAAATTTACTTGTACATAAGAATCGAGGTCTAATTTGTGACTTTCCATTGAATAATCTGCATGTGCGGTAGCGTCACCGTGTTGTTCAGGATCATTTATACGGAAGTGACGTACAATCTAAAATATAAAACAACACGATGAAATTGACAGTGAGAGACGAGTGACACGATTAGGCGGTGATCATTTTTTTTATTTTGAAGCCTAGCTTTATTTATTTGTAACATATTTGTCATAATAAGGCATCAAAAGAATGAGCAATACAAAATAGAATGATAGTATTGTGCACAGTTAGTAGAAAGGAAAGTCATATGGTCACTAACTAGATAGAGAAAATAGTAAATATAGAGAAAAGTTCCATTATAAATATGAAAATGTAGAACTCCTTCATTTATGAAGGATCATCTTACTTTTATTAAGTGTGGTAGAAAAGTTCTATTTTGAGCTACGGATGATAATATCTCAGGCCACGATCACTAAGAATTCAACCATGGAGTCATGATGGACCAACAGAAGCCCGTTCTGTAGAGCAATCTTTTATTTTATGGTCACATGTTATAAAACGACTCCCTTTCCGCTTTTTTTGCTTAGTCCAAGTGTCGGGAAATAAAGCTCGATGTAGAAAGCTACAGAAATGGTACTCATAAAATATGACTAGGTCACCGAAATCAGTATACCACTGATTTAACTCAGCTCAGACTGACATATAACGTTTTGACTTTCACTATACACACATTGATATAATCTCCTTTTCTAACATTACCACTCACACAACTAATAAGACATAACTTCTTGACTATTTTTAGGTGATTTCGTTAGCCTCACAATAGTACACTGGATTTAAAGGGTAAAAAGTATATCCCATATTTACGGACGTTACCAATTAATTAGATGCGATTCGGATGTCATTCAGGTACTACAAGTTGAAAAGACTTTCACCAGGCAAAAAAACACCATCACGTACTTCCTTCGGAATTATTTCCAGAATGTCACTGACAGCTAAACAACGATTTTCGAGATAAGTGTGGCAGTGCACTTATTTATTTTAACACAGATATAGGTACAATGAGGCACCAAATACATATGCGTTACATAAATTTCATTTGATATATGTGAGGGCTGTGATACTGCCAGGGTGCCCAAAGCGAAGCATGTGGTTTTCTTAGGGGGCCACACCTCGAGCCTTTGATCTAAAGGTCTGACTCACAAGGCAGTGGGGCATCGTGAGGAGATGCAGTCCCATGGTAGCCGGTGACCAACGATTGGTTCATACGCCATTTTTTCCCTCAGGATACTGGAGCCCATGCGCACCATTGGTTTTGGATCTGGTTAAAGCGCCGAACATTCGCTTTTCGTCCTCTCTTTTTCGTAGATAACACCCTCGCCACGAGAAGGCTGTGAGTACGACTTCCCTGGTAGAAGCTATATACGCGTGGCCATGTGAGAGCATTTTGAGAGGGAGAGCGGACTCTCCCCACTCTCGGCCGTACCACGGCATTTGGTAATGTAATACATGAATAATTAGACCGCATTAAGTCTTGACATAGGCATAATGATGTAAAGTATCTACCGTCAGAAGTACAAGGAACCTAACTGAATGAATGTAACTCACCAGTCATGTATCTGTCTACACTAAACTGTAAGGTATGTAAACTATAAAAAAACGGAATCATACTACTGGCATCTAAAAGCAATTCACTATGACATTGTACACAAACAGATGAAACACTGATAATTAAAGATGTTACAAGCAGTATACGTACGTTAAAAAATATGATAAATAATAAGAACGATATAAAGAATATTAGTTGACATACCAACTGAATTGATTGTTTTAATTCTACAAGTATTTCCGTTTGGTGCACATTCTTCAATTTTGGGTCGTCCGCTTCAACGCTGCCTTCATGTAAGCTTACACTTACATATGCAGGCTTACAATGTATAGATGATGATGGCGGTGACAACTCATTATTACCAATAGAATATTGAAATGGTACAGCCATGCCAGTAATTCGACGATATGATTGTCCATTTGACGCTACAGATGCAAATAATGTAGTGAATAAAGATTTGGGTCGTTGAAATTGTCGTTTAGCTAGATACTGAAGGTAAAAAATAAATAGATGAGAAGGAAAATACTGAATTACAATGAACAATATAGAAAAGAAGTTATTTACATTAAATTTATTCTAAATAATAACAAATGCAAGTAAAGTACAAGTAGTGTTTGACAACCAAACACAGTTACGATAATTTAACTATCATTAACTATGGGAGAAAGCAAAGTGAATGGTGAGAGATTTGCAATCAGCAAAGTGGTTATATGTGGTACAATATTTCCCAGAAATGCATACAGAAAGCCATTTGGGTTTCATCAGACCATACTACAGAGAACAAGATCGATCACACATGCATCAATAAAAAGTTAAGAAGCCCGATGGAAGATGGAAAAACAAATAAAGATGACACAGCTTCCGATCACCACCCGGTGATGGTCAAGATGAAACTAAAGCCGGAGAAACATTGTACAACTGAAGAAACATCATAACAAAGGTTCATTACAGCCTTCCTTCGATATACAGGCAAACTCAATGAATTCAAGATAACTCTCAACAACAGGTTCCAAACCTTACAACTACTCAAAGAAGAAACTAAGATAGAGGACAACTAGAATGAGATCAAAAAGGTACTAACTTCAACGTGTCAGAAGGTGCTGAGCCGCAACAAGCAACATGATAAAGAACGGATCTCTATCGAAACCCTGGATAAGATTCAAGAAAGGAAGAACAAGAAGATATCAATTAACAACAGTCGGATAAGAGCAGAGAAAGTCAAGGCACAAGCTGAATACACAAAAGCAAACAAGCATTTGAAGAGAAGCATTAGAGCTGACAAGCAGAAATACGTAGAAGATCTAGCATCGACAGTGGAAAAAGCTGTAATGGAAGGAAATATGAGACAGTTATATGATATAACGAATAAACTGACAGGAAATATGGTATACCAAAGAGATCGGTCAAGGACGAAGGTAAGCGAATCACTGAGATTGAAGAGTAGAGGAACAAATGGATAGAACACTTTGTGGAACTCTTGAATAGGTCAGCTCCATTGAACCCACTGGACATAAAAACAACACGTACACACCTCCCCAAAGTTATTAACTTACCAACATTGGAAGAAATCAGTGTGGTCGTAAGACAAGCTAAGAGTGAGGAAACAGCAGGGTCAGACAACATACCATCTGAAGCACTGAAATCAGACAGAAGTAACTGCGATGCTACATATTCTATTCAGAAGGATTTGGGAAGAAAGACAAGTGCCAACATACTGGAAAAAAGGATACGTCATCAAGATACCAAAGAAAGGAGATCTCTGCAAGTGTGAGGAATACTCAGGCATCACACTACTATCCGTACCAGGAAAGGTTTTCCACAGTGTTGATGAGCCGAATGAAAGACTCCGTGGATGCCAAACATTGAAATCAACGAGATGGATTCCGTAAGGATCGGTCGTTCACAGACCAAGTTGTGACACTATGGATCATCGTTGAGCAATCAATTGAATGGAACTCATCACTACACATCAACTTCCTCGACTGCGATCAAGTATATGACAGAGTGGATAGGCGAAACTTATGGAACCATCTTCGACATTATAATGTACCTGCGGAGATCGTCAATATCACACGGAATTCATGAGACAGACTACACTGCAAAGTCGTGCATCGGGGCTTGCTCCCAAATATATTGAAAGTGAAGACTGGTGTCAGACAAGGCTACTCACCTTCACCTTTCCTCTTTCTCCTGGTAATTAGCTGAATACTGATGATCGCCACATCTGAGGGAAAGCACGGAATACAGTGAACACCTTGGATGAAGCTAAACAATTAGGATTTCGTAAATGATCTGGTTCCTCTATCCCATACACACCAACAAATGCAAGTGCAGACAGACAATGTGACAGCATCCTCTGCAGCAGTAGGCCTCAACATGTACAAGGGGGGATACAACATCCTAAAATATAACACAGTGAGCACCAACCTAATCACAATTGATGGATAAACTCTGAAACGAGTGGAAGCTTTCACGTACCTGGACAGCATCATTGGTGTACAAGGAGGATCTGATTTAGATGTAAAGGCACTGGTTTGCAAAACAATGGCGGCATTCCTTCAGTTGAAGAACAGATGGAACTCAAAACCACTGTCAACCAACACCAAGGTCAGAATTTTCAATACATATGTCAGAACAATCCTATTTTACGGAGCTGAAACTTGGAGAACTAATACAATCATGATCATGATCATCATCAACAACAACAATAACCTACTGCGGTAGAGAACATACTAACTTCCAGCTGAAGAGGAAACTACGAAGACACTGGGGGTGGATAGGACTCACATTTCAGAAATCACCAAACTGAATCACGAAGCAAGCCCAAACTTGGAATCCTGAAGGCGAAAAGAGAAGAGTCCTGTGCTACACGAGGGGCAACTGGCGTAAGCAAGGAAAACGGAATAGAGGAAGAACATATAACATAATCCGCTGGGAATGGGAAGCAGACATCAAAAGAATGAATAACCACTGGGAGCAACCAGAAAAGTTATTCAAGGATGGAGTTAGTGGAAGGCCTATGCTCCACGAGTGGTAATACGCGTAATGAAAAAATAATTTTTAAGATTAGTCGGGCATTATACGAAACCTAAAGATTATCAAATTAAATGAGTTACTCAAAAGGGACTTTGTATATTGCTCATACATTCGCCAGTAAACAGCAATGTCATTAACAGTAATTATTAGTTTATTAGCTGTCGGAATTTAAGTTTGTAAATGCCTCCGAATACGTTATTTAGAATGAAAGGAAACTAAACATAATTAAACGTAGTTTATATTCTACACAAATAGGTTACACCTGAAGCTCAACTGTATACATTCTTTATCATTCACTCATGTGATGGTGAATATATACATTGTTAAGATATATCAAATTCACATGTAATATTTTTGCTATTCGTGAAAGTAACTGAGCTAGGAATGACGAAGCTGTATTCCTGTGAAATAATGACTTTAAAGGTTACTAGGATAAATTCGATAAACAGAGGGCTGAGTGGTCACCTGATCATCGACAGAAGGATAGTACAATAATATTCCAGAATTATCTATTGACAAAAAACTGTCCTAAATTCTTTTAGCTCACCAATTCATGAAACAATATAATTATTACTTGACAAACTTTAGAAATAATCATTATTTGTTCACTGACCCGTTAATTCAAGATGATTTACCTGAGATTCTAATGAAAAACTGTGATTTATAAGGTCAACAAAACCGAGTGCGAAAAAGAATATTTATCAGATAAATCAGATTATGACGTTGTCACGTTGCCGATCAAATTTACTAGTTAGATGGTCATGTCCTTGTTGCCATACTTATGCTACACATCACAGAATTGATGACTTACAGTGCTCGAGTTATAAACGGTTGTCTATCTAGAAATGGATATGCAAGAATTACAGTATTATGACGACGTAGCTAATGAATGAATCGGTGGATTTAAAACATTTCCTCCATTCTGGGTAACTCAATAACCAAGCACTGGTTAGAATATTGGATATGTGTAACCCAATGACATAAGAATATGATAGAGTAACTTAAGTTTGAATACTTGAACTACTTCGCTTCACAACCTAATAACTTTCGTTCTGGATTCCACAACTAGCCACCAACCATCTCTGCTTATAAATGCAACAAAGCTTAAACACGGTTTAGCAACATACGCGATTACATAGTACAAGAGACAATTTTTTGATTAGTTTTAACTACAAAGAGTTGAGAAAGGGAATACTTTAGAAATTTTGTTGCACTATATAAAGATTGATCAGTGGAGTAAACAAGCAGATATTACTTTAGTTTGTTAACGCCTATGCAGATATTAATAACACACAATAACAATACCGGGTTTGATGACGTAACAATCAGTATATATATATCTGTCTACAAGGCGTAAACTAGAACCGATAGTACATAAAACAAAAAATTCCTATTAGATTTATTCTCTACAATTAACTTCCATTTATATTTAATGTGATTTTTCAAAATTTTAACGTTTTATGATCTGATGAATCTAATGTTTATAAAGTTTATTGCTGATACACGGATAAACAATCTTAGCGCACATCAGAGATAGCGTATATGAAATGGGAAAAAAATTACTGAGCTACAGAAAAGACAAAATTGAAAAGAATGAGATATCTGAGATCACTATGAAAAGTAACTTCAAATTCATGACTTGTAACCCGACGTAGTGGTGCCTGATTAATTCTTCATGTTTGTGGTAAAAAAGGAATTAGATTGTCGAAATACAATTCGTTTTTGATGATAACTTGTTTAATTTAAGACAGACGAAAGTCTGTCAAGGTGGATATATTCACTTTAAGTTATTTTGTAAGGTTTATCAGAGTAAGCGGACACTTCACCTTCAAACTTAACACAGCACTTTTATTTATTGATAAACGTATTCAGCATAATACTGTATCGCTCTTCCTTCAAACGATAATCCAGAAAACAGCAAGGTAAGAATGCTAAGCAAGTGCGATTGAAACAAGAGACTGGAATTCGTTTTAATCAAACAGAAAGAAAAATGTACCGAGCATAAGAAACAAATGAAATAAATGAGACTTTTGCTCACTTGTTTAGGTAAATTAGGACGAGAATCTGGTTTCAGAACAGCGCCTTCATCAACCATAAGTTGAGCTAAATAATGACGTCTAAGACTACTGATATTTGATGGTTCCAAATGTTCATCATCTAGACTGTAGGCAGCCTAACGAAAAGAAAAATGAATGCAAACTCTGCATAATTTTTCTAAATACCGAAAAATTCTAACGGCAAAGTCGAAATTCAGAACAATTAAGGTAGTTGCAATGTATTGTAACTAAAAAAATAGTCACTATGACAATGGAACATCATAAATTTAGTTTCAAGTCATTTCTGATGCCTTTGATTCTAGTACACAAAGATGTATTCAGTACGTACTTTTTATGCCCGAATAATTACACGCAAATAAGAAATGCGATGTTCGGATCGGACTTGGTTATATAGATGATGAATGCAAAACCGTGATACTTGACCAGGTTCTAGATTGAATGACTGATGTGGCTACGAAAAAGTATTAGGAATTTGTTTCTTGATGTAAAATTTTCTAGTGAGCTTTATTAGAAGAGTATAAGCAATTGTTTTGTTTTGAGACTAATTTACTCTAAAAGTATATTATAAGCTGCTTTATATTATACATCAAAATCAGAGAAGTTAGGAGGGCATGAAAATATTTCTACTTAGAAAGTGATACATTATCATGATGATATAAAGATGTATTGTGTGAGTTATTTATCATAACTTCGATTGCAGTTGTAATGAGCAACCTCATCATGACTTAGCACTATAAGCATACCGTATATTCTCTGTTACTCATCAGTTTTAGGTTGGTTACAAGGTACCGAATACTTCACACTTAGGATCCTATTTCTACAATTAGATGACTAACTTGTAGTTAGATAGTACTTATCGCACATTCCAGTACCTCAGTAAATGTGTATTTTCGGTTTGTTTGAAACATCTAAAGACATTCCAGCTATTCTGGAAATCGAGATAATTTGATTCAAATACAATTTAAAGCAATTAGTCCCTTTTATAAATTCCGATAGAGCCCTTAGAAGACGGAGTTGATCTGAAAAATGTTATGTATTTGCACCATAAATTTCGAAAAATCTGGTCACGCATATACTTGACAGTGCATTCTTTTTTGAAAAATAATAAAGGTCAATTAAATGAAAGTTCAAGTAAAAAAATACAATTAATGATGATCGCCAGCTCCAGTTAATATACAGTGGAGTGTCAAATGATAAGATGTAAAAAAAAGATGAACTTCTTTTTTTACTATGACGCATCGAGTTTAACCGAATTCCAAAAATCCAACTAGAATGACTGTATTGTCGTAGAGGAAAAAATAAATATAATTTCTTTCTTCAGTCAGTCAGCTACAACGTCGGACCAGACCATAAAATATTAACTACTGGCAGGAAGGTATTATATGAATATACTTACCTTGATTAATTCATTTACGTCAGTCACTGACCCTGGTGCATTAGAAAGTGAGTGGAATATCTGAGATGAATTGTTTAAACTCAAGATTTCTTCGCTCTGTAGGGAACAAAATAAAATTACACAAATCATACATAAATGTGTTATTTGTGTGGAGAGAGAAGAATAAAAAAAGAATTCGTTATCTTCATCCCCGACTAGGAAAATAGCGAGGATAAGAGTGCCTACATCTATTCTTTTACATTGTATTTTCCTGTCAAAGCAACAGAAACGAAATTACAAAAGTTAAAAAAAACAGGTGGAAAAATAGTTTTTTTCATACTTCTTCCATTTTTATTATTATTATTATTAGAAGAAGAAAAAGTATTATTATTATTATTATTATTATTATTATTATTAGTAGTAGTAGTAGTAGTCGGAGCTAATGCGAAGTTAGAAGACAATACGTGACTAAGAAATTTGCTAGTTTCATATGAAGTTTGATAAAAGTCTACATCTGTTGTATATACGTATATCTGAAGTGTCCATAGGATTAATGTAACAAATCAGTGAACTAAGATATCCGCAAGCCAATAGGAAGAAATAGTAGCTTTAAGAGCGGTAAAAACGAAGGATATATAGCGTAGGGAGAATTGCCGAGAAAACCGCTGAATTCAAATATGTACAAAACAAATTATAAAAAAGTAAGCCTTAGAAGTTGTTATTGGGGAGTTAAATGTCCCCAACATAGTAGGAAAAAGAAAATAAAGATGATGAAAGCACAAAATGTTTGGAATGATAATGTAATTTTTAATTATTCACTATAGGTGGTCTGACCTTGACAAAGTATTTATATTTATGATTTGATAGATAATCAGATACGGGTAATTCACGGGATGTTCTTTCGGTCAACATCATATAAGGATTTTCTCGGCACTAATGAATTAACTTTAGACAATCACAAAAAAAAATACTTCACTCATCAATGACTTATAAGCCAAATTGGATGTCTTAAGTAAGATGTTACAATTGTATTATCTGTTATTGTTTTCGACAATTTACCACATCCTGAATTTTGTTCATTTTGTCAATCCAACTTAAATACTGAATAAAGATATCTTATGACTGAAAATAAATATTAGGTGCAATTTACATATAACATCGAAGCCAAGAAATTCAGTCAAATTATATATATATATTCTTTGTAAGTATACTTTGTACATACTTTGTAGGATAAAAGTGCAAGGGCGATGCGAAATAGAACAACTGAACCATCATAAAATAATAAATCCCATATTCGAAATGTTAAAGCTGTAGGACATACACTTGAATACAGCGTGAGAAACCATTGTAGCGTAATGAGCGGTAGGCCTGTGTCCAGAGTGTAAAAAGGAAAAAAGAAAACAAGTTAACAAATGTTTGAAATAATCATGGTGCTTACTCAATCAGCTTGGTTTAACTGTTAAGTTAATAGGATCAACTTTGAAAAACTATTTGAAAATTCTGAGTTGTATCATTTTCTACAAAAATGCAAGTGTACTTGATATGGAGAGCCAATCAGAAATAGCAAAAGGTCAATCGATGGTAATCATAAGTGACCCAAGCTCACGTACATTTCAGTGGGGTCAATGGATTAATTTCCTAAGGATAGAGTGGTATATAAATGAATATTTGTGCATTTCATTCGGTAGATCAAAACACTTTATCGCTCAAGTAGTCAATTGGGGGGTTAGCGCATAGCATACCGTGTATCAGTATCGGATTTTGGCCGCCGTACGTCACAACAGTACCTAGAAGATTGGTTAATCCTTTGGGCTTATTTGTCTGCCTGGAAGAGATTATATGAAACACAACTGAAGGTGGTTTGATTTAAGATCTGGTTACATTTAGTAGGACTGGTAAAACCATCAGAACATAACTCGTAATAATGTGCTAATGGAATCTAAAAGACTTGTAGTTGTTACAGACTTTCGTATAGAAAGTTTAATGGTCAATTCGATTATGTTTGTTGGGGAGATATACTGACTGTGGAAGACCAATGAAATTTTATCGAATCACAGTCAATAAGGCAGGATAAGGTTTATCAAAATACCTGTAACTTTTTACTCGTCTGGTACGATCAAAAAGAATTTTCAATATTGTAGAACAGTTTTAATTCTGCTAAACAGGACCTTTCAACAAAGTGATTAGTACAAACGTTTTTGTAATATCCCTACCTTCCTCTCCAGCATTTAAAATAGTCACAGTCAAAGAGAATATAGTTAATAAATAAATACATATAATTTTGTCTATAAGGTATCATGCTTTTTCATTTACAAAAGCAATCGAAATTCACCAGTCTGTGCAAGTAGGTGTTTGATTCTTTAAGCTCAGTGACAGGATACCATGTAACGATCACCATGTTTCGATTGATATAGTAAAATAACTAAGGCTATTTATTTTATACTCAAAATAGTGAGCACACATACACAGGAAAATAAGAAAATAAAAATCAAGATTTCGATCAATAAAAAATAGATAGAAAATCTGTTTCGATGGCACATTTTGTGACCTAGCATTCATGTTGATTCTTGTGTATGCTCTGGTGTAGATAAACAATATCACGAAAAGCGATGAGTCAAAAAACCAATATATATATGACACAATAAGCTACTTTCTTGAAAAATACAAGACGCAACTCAACGTTGGAAAGGTAATGCATCATTACTTTTACAAACAGTTTAGTGGAAAAACAGGTTTCCTTTCTACGGAAAAAACAATATAACTGTAAAAATGAGATCAACTTCTCATTTTATTGTTTAAGCACTTGGTTGACAGAAAAGATGGGATAGTAGTAGGAATTATATTATGCTATATCCTGACGAGAATTATGAATAGTAATTTTGAGACCTATTTATGGACCAATATGATGCATATATTTTTATTGTATAATTGTTATGTAACTAAACTATGCATATTCAATTTCCTCCTATTATAAGCTTTGTCTTGACCCATAGACTATTATTATGCGATTTACTGTTATTGAATTATGCTCAGTCTATTAATTACAATCTCCCACATTCACAGACACTTTTGGCCAAATCTTGTACAAATATTGTTTTCTATTTTGTGGTGAGATGTGGTCTGTTTGGTTTGTATATAAATACAGTATGTTTGAAATACATGACTCATATTTCAGAGGCTGAGATTGGTGTTTTGGACTCAACAGGCATTGCTAGGCAGGGAGACGGTCTGATAAGGATTCTAGACCACTCGTACGGGTTTACGCGTCATTGGTCTGGTCGATAAGTCGCTGTCCTCTAATTGGTGGTATCATTACGTTATATACTGATAGGGGCACAGGGCCACAAGTTATAACATATTATTACTAGTAACTGTCTTACATCATTTGATATTAGATACAAAGATTAATTCAACACCTATAAATTAGATGTTATGTATGAAAAAACGGAGAATCTGTTCACGGTATTTTGAAGAATGAACATTTTGCTTACTTATTTCATATTCTTTTAAACGTGCATCTAATTCCGGTAGATAGAATGGAAGTAGATGATTCAGTACAAGTTGGTCAGCTTGTACACCCAATAAACTAAGTGACGAAAAATATGATGGTGGTAGAAGATCCTCAATAATACTGCACATCATCCAAAAAGCTGTTTCTTCTTCTAAGCATAATAATAAATTTGCAACTATCTATTGTACGCATAAAAGGTTAGTGAAAAAAATGAAATGAAAATTCAGGTTAATTTATTGTGGTTAACGAAGTTCAAAGAAATGTTCGCACAAATATTGTAGTCGTCGGGCTAGATGAATGTCATGCAGCACAAACATACACATATTAAACAATGTGATAAAATCTGGTTACGTTAGAAGTCGTGTTTTGATGAATGAGTGAGGTACTAATGACCTACAAGACTGAGTAAGGGCCATTATGTTTTTTCGTGTTAAGCTTTAATTACTATTCTTGAAAAAATCATGGCTTTTTATGGATTTAAATAATTATTTCTATTGCTTATTGATAACTAACTGCAATTGAATTTCCAGACATACTGATCATTATTAGGTGAACTTTAAAAAAATGTAGCCTTTTATTTTGGAACTCCTTAGAAAAGCTTCTTACCATAGGGGTTAGACTGACAACCTTCAGGCCAATTGACAAAGTTAGTTCCTGTCGTCAGATCATGCTTCACTGGCCTAATACGTGGAACTTCTTCACTAAGATTTGGCACGTTTATGTGCGATTTTGTCATAATGACTATTAGTATAGAGGGTATACCATTAAAGCTATTAACACTATCGAAGCAATTATAATTGACCTCACTTCTTTTCTCTTATCTTACAGCACATTTTGAAACAAATTTCTAAGTAACAGGCGAATAAATTTCTCCCCTTGGTTCAAGCTTATTTCTACTAAAAACCGAAGCAATAATAGTTCAGGTTATACTACTATAATGAAAATAAAACTAATTCGTTTACAGGAAACAGAAAAAGTTAGTAAAAATAATGAAATCAATAGTTAAAGAATATTTTTTTCAAAAAACCCGATAAAACAGTGGTAGATATGCTTTAGTTAATAAGGTCATAGCTATATATAATCCCAATGGATGGTAAAAAGGAAAAGCAGAGGAGAATTGTACGGATAAATAACAAATATTGTTAATATGAGATAAGTAGTGGCACAGCATAATATAGAATGGGATTTGGTATTAAGGTATTCTATAATAACAGTTGTTTATTGTGGTATTTGATTGTTTGTTTATGCCGAATATTTATCAGTTTTTATTATTAGGTCTACTGGGCTAAGTAGTAGGATCTGATCAATCATGGTTTTCAGTAAATAAACGAGTTACCCCTTGAAGGACGATATTGAATGTTGGATTTCGATATCAAAATTACATAGTGTATTTTTGCAGTCACTATTTATATTATTGTAGCGATAAGCCTTAGGTACAACTGACCTTCCACTAACAGTAAACTTTCTACCTTAACTATCACTTAGTTTACCATGAAGGCTTTCTTGGTGCCTTATAATACGACGTTTTTTGTTTGAATAATTATTAATTGAGCTTTTTTGAGAAAGGAGGAAATTTAAACAACGAACTATTTTTGTTTATTGACTTACTAATCCCATGCCTTGACAATATCCTACATCTACATACAACCAAGCTAGGGCACGCAGAACTCGACGCAGTCTCGAAATACCAGTAGAATTCGAGGAATGGAAACATAGATTATTTGGCATTGTACGGAAAAGATCCTAGAACATAAAAGAAATAAGGCGGTGAAGAGAGGAGTAATCACATTTTACTGAAATTTTAATTTGTATTATTGTTATGACTGATCGTCGCCAATTGTTATGTCGGAATCGACCATTACTTATACATGTAAAACAAGGAACCACTGTATATTCAATGAGTGATGATAAATGATTTTACGGAGTTTCGACTATTTGTTATTCTTTTTACGCGATAGGACCATGTCAACAATAAACGAAGTTATCATCAATTAAAGGTGATAACAAAAGTTGAGAATGAAAAGTAATACTGATGGATTTGCATATTCGAGTTTTTGAAGAAAACTTTCTAGTGTAGGTGGCAGATAAAACAATTTTCCATTAGATTTCTTTCAAAGTAGGATGTTTGAAGAGTTTAATGCAAATAGTTACTGTTCTAATGGACTACTGTTGTCATTGAACAGAGTGGCGATGTTAACCCAAAATCAAAACACAAAGACCGAGGATGGAGCGTGCAGTTTATACTTTTTTTCTCAACTATTAATTATGCATATCTTATAAGAACTCTAAAAGCTAGTTACATGTTTATTTAGAGAAGGGACTGTTCTGTTATACATTCCAATAGATTAATCTGATCATCTAAATGTGATGTTCTTGCTACGAAAATCGGACTTGGTTAAATTCCTTATAAAATCGGTAGCCAAGAAAACTGAATAGTAAGCCATCGAGACAGGATGCCGATCTTACTACATGCTTGGTTCTAAATATTTCATTCGATAAAGAGGACATTAAGATGTACATATGACTGTATGTATATATTTAGATTTCAAATACTAAAACTAATTTCACTATAAAATCTGACAGAAATCAAACAAAATTAAAGTATGTAAATAATTGCATTTACCGAACAAACTGTATGAGAATATTTTCCAATTCATAAGAGCAATGCATATTTGACATATAATCCGTTTTCGTTTTCTACTTATTATTATGAGCCTCATTAATGTAATATAATTATTCAATAAGTAAATACTACAAAATTAACGAACAATTTGTTTATAAACAAGTTAAAAGCGATATAACAAATAAGCAACCTTTTCAATCTGAATTCCGGCCAAAAGTGTGTCTGTAGAGCTGAGTTGAACTAATTCAGTATATGTGATCGAAGGGATCCGTTGTTTAGATTCTTTTGCCTTTAATAAGGCTCCTGTTAGTCTAGGCCATATATGAGGTCGAAGAGAATGAGGAATCCCAAGTTGTTCACCAGATCTAGCAAGGGCTTCTACATCTAAGGCTTGTCCTCGAATAAGTTCTGTTAGTCTGGGTGACTGAACTAAACGCAAGTTTACTCTTGACCATAATTGATCATCATCTTCATCGACGGTAGATCCAACTGAACTATATCTGGCATCATATTCGTCTAGACTTGATATACCCAGTGTATGAGTATGAGAGAATTCCAAGCAGGTCAACCAAGCACGTCGATTGGCAGATGATTCGATGAATGGGCATGGAAGGTTTTCTATATAGAACATAAAATAGTGACACAATCTATTATACATATATAATGATGAAGGTGACAGCTATGTGAAAGAAAATTGTACACTGTGCACAACTTACTTTCTAAAGTAAAATAAAAGTATTACCAACCGAACTAGATAAAGATAAACTGTAAATTTTCCAGACAGCTAAACAAACCCAATGAAAATATTCAAAAACAACCAGTCTGAAACAGTAGCTAACTCATCAAGTTTATATCCTTGGCTCTGAGCTTGGTTGTTTGTGTGAGGGCTAGCGAAAGTACCTAGCTGAACAAATTAAACTAAGTGAAGTATTAAAATCGATGGCTGACTCATTCCAGTTACTCTACCTTTTAAGCAACTAATTGAAGCATATCAAGGGTATCAAATGCTTAATTCTGAACTAGTTGCTTTTTAAACTTTTAGGCAGTAGATTAAATGATAAAGTAGAATGATTAAAATCCGAAAATGATAGCTACTACTCCTAAACATTACTGAAATGAATGGGGACTATAGATATGTTGATAGCTCTGATTGAATAAAAAAACTATTCAGGAGAATAAGGTTTCAGCAGTTTAAAAATCCCCATAGAATATTCAAAAACGAAGAATATTTGAGCGAACAATTGTTTCAATAACTTCATCATCAGGCTCTACAGTTATAAGTCCATAATTATAACGATATTTTACAAAGGCCAAAAATAAGGCATGTTTTAATGAGTTTGACAATGTTATGTGTTAAAAATGGTGAGCGTTTGCATCTGTTACGATATATATATATATACTTCAAAAAATTGTAATATTTGCAAATTAGAAAGGTCATTCCATAAAGGTCAGTAAATTGTTCAGTCACAATAAGATAATGGTACTATTGCAAAATTGAAAATAATTTTGTCAACTGAGATAATAATAATATTGTTGTGTGAATATAATATGTAATAAGGGGGGTGTTATCAAGGTAATTACGGTCAACAAATTGGGAATGATGGATATGAAGATTAAGATATAGATAATGACAAATAATGATAATAAGGAAAGGAAATAAAATAAAAAAGGGGTAAGAGGTTTATAATATTCAGTCTAGGTATTCGTAACAGATGCAAACGTTCACCATTTTTAACACATAACATTGTCAAACTCATTAAAACACGCCTTATTTTTGGCCTTTGTAAAATATTATAATTATGGACTTATAACTGTAGAGCCTGATGATGAAGTTATTGAAAACAATTGTTCGCTCAAATATTCTTCGTTTTAGAATAAGGTTTCCCAACCATACATTTTATTCACTACGAAAAACTGATCAGAATTGATATCATTCAAATAATTGAATTATTGGCACTGTCTGACCACTGTACTTAAAAGAATTGGTAAAAGATGCATGTTTTCTGATTATTTCAATATTTCTTTTTGTTGATCGATTTCCCTTCTGATATTACGCTGTATGGTAGCCTACATTTATGCATATATGTATGGTGTGCTATTATTCGACTGCTTTGACGATGAAGTTTTGATAAGATTACATATAATTTGGTTTTGTCTATTTGTATCAAGGATGAATACATACAACTTACTCAAAAGTATGAATTAATTTTGTCTAATTCACTCTTAAATATTAAACCTTTTTTCACTTACTAAGGTAATGATAAGTTTCCTTATGGAAAATAAGATAAAACAAAGTTTAACTATTAAAAATTATATTGAATAATAACTAAGCGAAAAAGACCTACATAAAATGATAACACAAACCAGCAAAAGCAATAATAAAAAATTTCGATACAAGTAAAACTGGACGATTTTTTCATTTATGCACTAGTTATATGACAAGTTATTTAAAACATGAGTTTGGTCACAACTTGTTATAGTCTCTACTTTGTACATATTTCATTTTCGTTTATTAGATCAGGAATTGATAATAACTTTAGAGAGGGACAAGGCATGGAAAGTCAATTTTCTCTACCAATTACGTAAAAATAATGATGACTGTCAGGAATAGATAAACAAGCGAAATGCACACTAACAAAGTATTAAGGAACCACTGAATGAAAAAATATTCCATCAGAGTGAGGGGAATTAAAATAAGTAGCATTTGACTGATTGTATATACGAAATTGTTGTATTTATTTTTATGGTAATAAGCATGTACATATTACTTACATTATTCCTTAGTTCAACTCTAATTTCGAAGGAAACGTGTGATTCCCTTTACGTATACCATGTAAAATAACTACACTACAAATGGTAGTGTTGGTCACTAGGTTGGTAATACACGAGGATGATGGCTACAAAACATTTAGTTCGCCGTATATCATTGTCCCCAAAAACATCATTTATGGCCACAAACTTGATTTAACGAGAGCTCGAGTCACTCTAGGACAATTGCTGGTACCAAGACAGTAAAATAAGAAGGCTTAGAATATGATTAACAACCTCATCCAGTGCAACGAAAACAGCTACCGAATCTCTAACCAGAGACAAACATTTAAACTAATTAAACTCCGTACTCAGTGATCTTGAGTGCTGTAAGGTGGTTTTAGTGACCTGAGAGTGTGACCGCAGTGCCCAAGGGACAACTGCTTGGGGTCGGTCACACACGACTTTTTTGTGAATAGTTTCCGTGTTAGCTCCGTACTTGTTGGGACCTTACGGCCGGAGATGGATGTCTACGGTAACGGTCATTATATTCCATCATCAAAGTGAAGATTCTACAAAAACCATGAGGCAGATGACCTTCCCATAAACAACCACAACAATATGCATAGCAATATGGAGTGTATGAGCAATGTGGCAGTTTCATTCGAATGGCTATAGAAATGAGAAAATATAAGCTGATCAGATCATGTTTAGGATAAGTGAAACTCGTTAGACGCAATCTGAAAAGAGAAGACTAACCACAAGATAAATTGTTGTTTTCCCATTATCAAGGAAAAGATGCCCCCGAATTCCCTAGCAGGGCCGAGAGTGGGGAGAGTCAGCTCTCCTTCTCGAAGTGCCTTCAAGTTGCTATATGCATACACGCACTGTCAGGGAAGTCCTACTTATTGCCTTCTCGCGATGGGGGTGTTGTTTACGAAATTGAGAGGACAAAAAGTGAATATCCGGGGTCTTAACAGGGTTGATGGATACAGAGGATCCACCTAAGGAGTTGGAGAACCCTGATTCCAAACCAATGGTGTACGTGGCCTCCAGGATCCTACGGAAACAAATAGCGTATGAACCGATTGTTGGTCACCGGCTAAAATGGGACGGCATCTCCTTACGTTGCTCCACTACCTTGTGGATTAGACCTTTGGGTTAAGGGCTTGGCGTGTGGCCCCTTAAGAAAATCGCCTGTTTTTGTTTGGGTACTCTGGCAGTATCCCAGCCCTCACACAAATCGAATGGCTTATGTGGCGCATATCTGTTTGGCACTTCCTTGTACCAATATTTATGTTTAAATAAGTAAATAAATGCTCCACACAAAAGCAATGCCACTAATCCTCTCCACAGAACCACATAATCCACTAATAGAATGAGAAACCCACCCAACCAGCATTAGCAAGCAACTCATCCTTCGAAACAAACAAGCAAAATTTACCACAAATGTCATTCAATGCTACGCACTCACTAATAATGGGAGCTGTTTGAAGACATTGCTGAGTTCACCGAACATTGAAAAGCACACATAAACCTCATGACAGGTGTTGGGTCACGAACAATGGAATAAATTAGCAAAGCCATCAGGTAAATCAAGAGTGGGAAAGCAGCAGGACTAGAAACTCATACCAACCGAAGCACTGAGGTAACTACAAAGATATTTCACTTTCTCTTAAAAAAGATTTGAAAGGAAGAATAAATACATGCAGATAGGAAAGAGGGACACCTTATCAACATATCAAGGAAAAGATGTCTTATTAGATGTGAAAACTACAGAGGAATCACACTACCGTTAGTACCAGATAAAGTCTGCAACAGAGTATTGTTGAATCAAATGAAGAATTCAGTGGAGGTTCAATTTAGAGGTCAACAAGTTGGCTTGTGAATGTGCCGACCAAATTGAGAAGCTACGGATCATTGTTGAACAATCAATTGAATGAAACTTACCATTATATATCAACTTCCAAGACTGAGAAAGCATTTGACAACGTGGATAAAGAAGCCTTGTTAAGTCTTCTTCGACACTTTGGAATACCTGGGAAGATTGTCAATAACACATAGGGTCTGAACACAGTGAGCTTCCGCATGTAGTTCGAAATGCGGTTTTAGTAAGCCTGGGATAGAACTTAGTGAACTTGAGTCATTAGTGCGTATGGAAGGAACCGAAAACTGGAAATGAGGGTTAGGAGTGAAAAACAGAAATTTCATGGGGTAAATAAGTTTTAAATGTAAGGTGATCTCGCGTGGCGTTAATTGTATGAAGGTAGTTGTCATTTTCAAAATGCTAATACCCTGGAAGGGTTGTCTCTTGAAGTATCGAAAAAAACTAGATCAAAGATTATATTGACGACTACAGTTTTGATACGTTAACTCCGTAATTTTCAGATCCTACCGTCAGTGAAGAAATTAAATGGGGAAGAGTTGGATGTGCCATTTTCGAAGACGTATTTTTTCTACCCCTTCCTTTATTTACGAGAAAGCAGTTAGTCGTATGATGGAGACATCGTACTACTGTCAAACTCCTGTGCAGTTGACTGTATGACTTCAATCCTTGACCTTAAGTTTGAGACGTTTAGTCTTATCACTCGCCGACCGACCTGTCTAGCATGATATGACATAAAAGAACGAGTCCCAGTCAATATATCTCGATTAGATCGTCACAATATACAAACCTGACAAATAAGTTAAAATAGAAGTAATTAACACATAACTTTTTAAAAGTTTAGGTGTGTATATGTCATGATCTCAAAACTACTAGGCATGAATATGAACTCCTCCGCGTTAAATATAGAAAGTGAACAGATGATATGGCTGAATAAGGTCCTATAATTGAAGTCATTTTAATTTTTGACAGATAATCATGAAGAGTTAAGCAATCTAAGTACAACGGACAATATATAAAAATGGAATTTAATCAACCTTTTCAATATTTCAACACTATACATGCATAATTCTACTGTAAATATGTACTAATTAAAAATAACACCTTGTTGATATAGGACGGTATCTTCTCATCAAATCAGCATATCAATAAGCACTAGTTGCAAACGAGCGATTAGATAAAATGATTAATTTTTATAACAGGTTAATATGTCTAAATATGCAAACTCAAATAGTGTAATATTTTGTATGAGAAGTTTAGTATCGAGCAACTTACGCAATTACCTGCAACCAGCCCGATACATGCTGCTACTGCCTTGCACTTAGTTTTTACATGCTATTTAGCGGATACCTGAAACAGACTGTTCAATCTTTAATTCATTTGGACTCTATTCCTGTTTGAGGGCATCAATAAATGTTTGGATAAGTGGCGCCAATTAGTTGGCTAGAGTCTCTATATGACCTTTCTATTGAGTTGTTCGTTTTAGAAACATCTTCCCAAAAACGGTACATTTAGGAAGAGTGAATCGAAACAGCCTCTGTCTCTTGTTGATCTCTCACTTCAGCGTTCTCCAAAATAACTTGTTAATACTTTGATCGCTTCATACTTTGCGTTCAATGGTGACGCAGTTACACTGGCAAAGGCAATTACAGTATCGACCCGATTAAAGCTAATCCTGTCAACTAACTGATCTGCGACGTACAATTTTTATACCGCATAACGTTGCTGAGGGTTTGCTGATAGCTGTAGTCTTCACTCTACATACTAGCTCGGATGGAGCAAGAAAGCTTATTGTGTTGCATTAGGATATAGTGGTTGAAATGCCGATAAAGCTGCACGTTTCTATTCAGTCATGATAGTTGATGGATTCAAAGTTAAGACCTATTCGCTTAGGGTGTGGATATAGGAATTCTAACCCTTATCGTTTATTAAAATGTAAACCAAGGAAATAATTACACATAATTTCATAGTATGAACATTATAGATTTGAGTAAATGAAAGGGAAAATCCTTAGATGTTCCATTAGAATACCAATAAAAAAACTGCTAAATTTCAGATTTTAAGTTCCAATAAAGAACCGAAATTCGCTTTCCATTCAGTGCACTATCATGTAGAGAGAAATCATCTCCGTCTTGTATTTAGACATCACGCTTGGTGAATTTAGCATACATGGATTGCGTAAGGGCGTTTGATGGTCGTGTTGGTTGGGCCGAATAATCTGTTTTCTTAGAATCACGGCTGGAAGTTAGACTGACAATGTAGCTAAGATATGACGTGTCGTTTCGGTTTATAAAACTGCTCAAATTTTTATTCTGCCATTCGTTTCGTTGGCCGTTTGGCAGTAGTTATATTTCGTATAACAGAGTTACCTATTCTTCCCATTACTGTATCCCAAATTTTGTCATTATTGTTACCTTTTAGAGGTACAGCCATCCAGTATCAAAAGGCCTGCACTCTTGTCACTTTTCAGGTATTGTAGTTTAATTGCGATGGTACATAAATAAACATAATCCGAAACGCAGTCAAATACATTTATATATAATTGTACGGTTTCGAAATCTAATCAAACAATTTATTTCAAAACATACGTAAACTAGTTTATTTTATACACAGTAACTGGCTACAATTAATTAATCCTAATTTAGTTTAATGTCTTCACATTTTCTGTCATTTGCAGTTGTATTTAATATCTGAATCCCTATAAAACGAACTGCAAGGTGCTTTTCATTCGCTCAGCTTTATCGATGAGGACCCCTTTTGGTGTTTGTTTTTGATTTATATGCACTCAACATTACCGATATTATCCTTATTAATGGGCTATATAAAACGGGTTAATTAAAGTGTACGGGGATGATTTACACAAAATATTACCAAGATCATCTATTCGAAATCCAAATTCATCAAAGTAGCGCTTGACTAACATTGGGACGTTGGATTCTGGTGAAACTTGGTCATCCAGTTGTCTATATACACATGACGGTTTAAGTGAAGGGACAAGAGCAGAGAATGACAATATTTCGGTCAGCCCCTTCCTAAGGATTGGCATATCGAGTAAATTTTCGATTGAATTTTTTTGGAACAATTGATTTTCATTTATTTCTGATTGCCCATTCAAATCTGATCTTGAGTATTTCAGGTTATCTTTTGAATCTTCAAGCAAAAAACCAGATAGATGACTAGTTGAAATGAAATTATGTGAAAAGCATTATAGAAATATGATGGACACCAGGAAAGAACACAAAATGAATTCGAATGGTAAGACGGAATAAAGTATCCAAGACAAAGTGATTATGATTTCAACAAATATTCTCTACCATTCTTTGCAAACTCAAAGTTTATCTGTTATAACATCACTTGGTACTAACATGGAATTGAATAATCCATTACGTAATTGAGTTTAAGCTTTTATGCCGATTGGGTTTTGTAAATATAAGGAACATTGGTGAGACTATAATTTATGGACTGTTTAGCGACGCTAGAAAAACATTCCTAATCTCCACCTACTAACTAGGACATAGTGAGGGTCCTGAACCAATGTGAGGAGTTAGAATTATGATTTGCAGTAGGTTAGGGTTAGGAACTAGTTTTAGGGCTCTTATCACGAACTGACATCAGCTAAAATGCCAAAACGCTATTTAACCAATGGATGAATGAATTTCACGCCAAAATCCAAGGCCCGATATCTTATATCTCACTGATTTGTACATAAATCACAGTCTCGTTCCAGTAGCTGTAAAAATTCGAAGGTAGTGCTAAGAATCATTACTGAGTATGATCATGACCAGTGTAAACAGATGCACTAAAGGCTTCAACTAGCCTTTCACATACTATATTACTTATAGCAACCTTTATATATCATTATCAACTACCAGCTGCAGTTTCTAAATGATTTAGAGGCTAAACTTGAAGATGAAGTCCAGACCAGTCTATCATGCAAAACGATACAGTAGTCACAAGACTAGAACGTTTGACACCTCACATTCATTAAGTTCAGGTGAACAACAGGCAAGAATGAACAGTTGACTATGTGCTCAATATCTACGATCCTTTATAATAACTATGCACGACGAGTGATCATGTATTTGAGCTCCAGGCAAACTATTAGTACTCTTTAAAAAAGACAAACATGAACCAAGGGTAACAAAATTAGGGAACGTAACACGAAGTAAAAATTAATTGCACAAGCCTATACGTGAGGTTTAGAATAAAAGTAAAATATTTAGGTAGATTGTTCTGTTTAAGACGCTGTCACTAAAATGCTACGTAATTTTGAATGGTTATGACTGCATTCACGCAAAAGAATTCTATGTCAACAATGTGTTCTTAATTTTCAGTCTAATAAACAACTGGAATACTAACCACTTTCGCGAAAACCACAGCTCTCGCTGGGCATTTATGTCGGCGACTCGACCTTCGGTGACCTCAAGAAACTAAACAACACGGATGTTTTAAGGAATGAGAAACCTATGCACTCAAACAAAGAGAATTTTAGCCTAATGTATTAGTACATTAAGCACCAAAAAATTTAAGGACATCTCTGAAATTCGAACTTACTGAAAACTTGGATTTTCCTAACTGCTTCGTCTTAACAGCCCGACCAACGACGACGGCGACGCCGCTAACCTTTTGGCTGAACAATACTCTCGGACATTTCAACTGACCCACATCAACTATACTGATGAAAGCTTCATCTACAACTCCAAAAAACTTTCCGAAGTGAGCTTGAGCGCAGACTTGGTGTTCCGGAAACTGCAGCACTTAAGATTAGACACTTCTCTTGGCCCGGATATGGTCCATTCCGCCATACTGAGGGAAGCAGCCTCAATCCTGTCATTGCCGCTTAGCGTGCTGTTCTCACACTCGCTAAGTCGAGGAAAACTACCGGAAACTTTGAGGCTGGTTCACATCACACCAATTTTCAAAGGAGGTCGACTCAACGAACCTTCAAGTTACCGACCGGTAGCTCTTCTATCCATACCCTCAAAAATCATGGAGTCCTTGATATGCGATGGTATATATGGCTTATTACTGTCCTTAAATTTCTTCTCACCTCAACGGCATGGTTTCAGGAAGGGTTACTCTTGTATTACCAACCTGTTAACTGAGGTGGACAGATGGACAAGCATCCTCGATCACGAGGGGAAGGTTGATATCATCTACCTAGATTTCTCAAAAGCTTTTGATAAGGTTAACCATATGTGTCTTGTCAATAAGCTCAAACGATTGGGTATCAGACCACCTCTAATCGATTGGCTTACTTCATACTTGAAAATCGACATTTTCAGGTCAGGGTTAATTTCACCTTATCCCAGGCTATGGAATGTCATACAAGGGTCCCCCAGAACTCAGTACCAGGACCTCTTCTCTTCTTGGTTCATATAAATGATCTTCCTCAACAGGTAACGTCAGCATTATTACTTTTTGCCGACGACGTGAAACTTTGAAGAGAGATACGCAACCAAGACGATATGCAGGCACTTCAGGAGGATCTGACTCGACTTCAAAGTTGGGCAGACGATAACGGACTTACCTTTAACACTTCAAAGTGTAAAGTAGTCCATTCGCGACATGTCGCAGACTGTAGTTAGAACTTAGGTACCTCCTCTCTAGTAGTATCCCAAGTCGAAAAAGATTTAGGAGTCCTGGTGCCCTACGATTTAAAGTTTTACGCTGTGACAAAAATACCTTCCGAGCAAACCTTTCACTGGTAACATTGAAACGCATTTTTGGCCAGTTTGACGGAAGAACTTTCCATATAATCTTCAATAGTTTTATCCGTCCCCATTTAGAGTACGGAAACATTCCAAATCATTCCAAAAGGATAAAGACACCCTGGAGCGTATCCAACGGCGAGCCACGAAATCAGTTCGAGGACTCAAATTTGAACCTTATGAAGGGCGCCTCCATTCAGTTAACCTTTACCCATTAGAGTATAGACGTCTTAGAGGTGACCTTCTGATGGCTTACAGTATCATAAACACTTCTGGACATCCTCATAAACACCTACTTAAGTTGAGGCTCAAGACAAATCTAAAGGGTAACACGCAGAAAGTTGAGACACAACATAGGGGAACAGACTGTAGACACAACCCCACTCCTGAAGGGTTGTTAGATGCTGGAATTCGCTGCCGGTCGAGCTAGTCCAAGCGACTTCCCAAGAGTCCTTTGAGATGCAACTTGATCTATTCTTAAGGACTAAGGTTAGTATCACACTATGATTTACTAAGTTCTTTTCCTCTTTTATTGTTAACAAACCTAGGTTTCTGCCTGGAGGATTTAGTGATCTCCAGCTACTAGACACGGAAGCCTGTTAAGCGAAAGCTTCTTCTATTCCGTCCACAACCATTTGAATAATTTATAACGTGATCTGATCTTTCTGCTCACAAACCAGAATTCAGTATCGATTCTATGTTGTTGTGACAATCTATTATGTAACTCTCAACTACCTTATACTTTAACATTATTAATAGCGTGTAGTTTTAGAACCTTCATAGCACCCAATGAAGTTTATCGGATAGCTTCTATTCGTTTTTCGTAGTAATTTCACCAAGTTGTTGGTTTATAACACCCAAGTAACTGTTAACAGTAGTGAGCAATGAGTGAGCGTTGAGAAGGGAAAATATCAGCAATCTAGCTGTCAAAATAGTGGAATTCCGTACGACGACATTATACAAAACTTTCTCATTTGATCTGATATTTAAGCGTCGAAGAGTAGGTTATTCGAAAGTAGGACAGCCTTCGATAGGAAATAGTTGGACAAATATCATACAATTCTGAGATGACATCACTTCAGTCAAGCTATCCCGCCTGTGTAATGACAAAGACACCGCAAAAAGTAAAACCATTGAACGAACAGAAACTTTAGATTTGGCACGTGTTACAGCAGAAATATAAATGACATCCCAAAGACCATAGGTTAGACGACCCTCTAAAATCCAAAATAGACCGCAAAACGTAGACAGTAAGCGATACCTCAGGAAGCTCTGCAAGCAACCAAAGACCAACCAAAATGACGTTTATTAATTTTAGTGGTTATTATAAAGAAGATCTGAACTGTGATTTATAAAAACGCGTACGTTAGGTTTTTTTCAGTTTGTTACACGTGTAAGAATAAGTTCCATAGACGTTCACTGCGAACGCGATGCTGAAAGAAATGAAGAACAGACGAACAGGAAAGCACTTGGATATGAGCGGACAAGGGTATGGCAAGGTGGTAGGCAAAACTCATACTAACTGACATCACTAGGATAAATTATTGTTAAAGGTAAGAAAATACAGTAATGAAGAACAGTAAGTTATAATGTATAACAAGGTGAAATGGTTTCGAGTAGCGGATAGAAATTTGGAGCCAGCACCTTGAGTTTTGTTCTTTTGAATCAAAAGTTTTAAGAGGACTCTGCATGATTTTTCCAGAATCGTTCTTAAATATTTAAAATGCACGCACATTCCTACTATGAAGTCCACGATGTCACTTTACAGTGTCTCTTTAAATGAGACAAATCTCGGGGACTAAATGTAGAGAAGATCAACCAATTAGTGATAGTTTTATTACTTAATTCATACGAGAAAAAACCACACCTGAGATTATTCTTGTTGAGCTAGAGAGGAATGAAAGGTTATCTGCTAGTTGTACAACGACTTAGGTTAAACGGTTGAGTTGACCAAAAAAATCGAAGGAAACGTCAGAACATTAAAACTCAAGTACTGATTCACTTCTTTATTTTGTATAGGGATTATATTTACTATTTGCTTATACCGAATGTTGAAAAGCTTCGTGTGTTTGGAAAAAAGCAACTTCATAATTCCCTGTGTACTGTTCCAAGATCTAATTAAAGGTGTATTTGCTACTAGTTTGGTTTCTTCTATCAATAGAACAAGAGGTACCCACCGGCCAAAATACTCCAACACAAACATATTACCAAAACCTTACCATTCTCCCCGAGACAACCCTCAAAAGATCGCACATCAAATAGCAAACACTCAGGTGCGCTTTCACTATTTCCCATCAATAGTTGTCACCGTTTGTAATTCTCTCAGCTGAAGTGACCACTTCTCTAGTGGATAGCTTTTTGGGAGAAGAACTGACAAGCACGTACTTGTAGTGACCTACTTTTATGAAGAAAACGCCATTGGCATAATGGAAACAATTATTATTGTAACCAATCTTACTGTAGGGTGTGCTACTTATGTTCATGTAATTAGTATATGACGCGAGTTTAAAACGCAATGTATGGGGGCTGAAGATTGGAGAAGATCAAGAAAGGAGGAGCGGGGACAAAGTGGATAACGCGTCTGACTACGGATCAGGAGATTCCAGGTTCGAATCCCGGCAGGCTCGGTTGCCTTTTCAACTACTGTCACAACATCACCAACGTCGTAGGCAATTGACGTCACCGACCGACCACACTCCACGCACTAGCGGTGCATGCAAGATGGCTGACAGATGCATTGCATTCAAAGTGGACACCGTTGTCAGAGAAGTCTGCTTACTCACGTGCAATCCACCCATGTCTGTAGGGCAGAACATTTTGTTTAATTACGGCTCCTTATGGTTTAGTGGGATGTTACGAACTTAAGGAGTTAATGCTGATTTACCATGCAAAATACCTCATTAAATCGTGTTACGAACGTTGAATTGGTTTTACTTCCTACCCAATAGTCCTATTACAAGCAAACTAGATGATTCACTAATATAGGAAGCCTACTCAAGACCCTATGATACTTTTAAAAAAATAATACAAAAAAAGTTGAAAAGAGCTCCAACAGCTTCGATAAAAAAAGGAAGATAGTCAATTGTATATCACAATACTGTTTCTAGCACTATATTTTATGACCACACATAATCTCATACTTTCAGCTCCTTTCTGAATCCCCTCCATTTGTCAGTTGTATGTCCACTCATACTTTGTTTACACTTATTTTCTTTAACCTATTAAATGCTCTTTCTTAACAAATACCTTAATAAAAGAAAATTAGACTGAGTAATCATACCTTAAACATTCCTTCATGAATATTGGCTACTCTGTCCCTCGTGTTTTCTTTTACTTGCTCTTTCTTTCAGCCCCTATGAAATATGGAACTGGTGACTTCATCCTGCACCATCCTTAAAGCCTTAGATATTCCAAAGGGACATAAGGTTGCGATTTCTAGAAGCTCCCACCTTCAATGGACCTATCCTTGACCATCAGTTGCACATTCGCAACGCGACTTTGATGAAGCGCGCCTAGTGATACTGATTAAAACCATCTACATTCATATCTTTTAAATTATCAACCCAGCTGAGTAATTTACTACAGTGGGTATTGTAACATTTGTAAAAATTTGATCTTGCCTGTAAACTGGCATGCCTCATGTAACTAACTGTTATTTGAGAATAAATTATTATTATTATTATTAAAATGCAATTTGTAAGGAAACGCATGAACAATGAAATGTGAGACAATGG